CTTCTTTTTTTCATTTTTTCTTTTCCTTTTCCGGGGGGGGGCAGGCTATATTAAGACTTGGCGCTGGCGGTACTGTTCATCGGTCCACCGTGCGGTAATTGGTTCTCACAAGTGGTAAGGGCACGGTGCGTTCCGGTTTTGCGGGTGCTTGGTGAGGCGACGTGCGACATGGACTTTTTCGAGGACTGGGACCAGGTGGAGGAGTAACCGGAGGTGGAAGAAACGGTAACGATCCGGGCGTGAGGCTCTCTCGTCATTTTTCTGCCGCCCCGACCGCACCTAAACTCCGCGCCATGCAAACCAACGCCATATGCCACGCGGGGCCTGCCCTGCTCTCCCCAAGATCGATCACGCCAACGCTAGGCGCGTGTCTGGCCCTCCTTTTTCTCCTCGCCTTGCTCCCTAACCTCGCCATAGCATGCTTGCTCTCTGCCACTTGCCTCTCTGAGAGAGTTTTTCTGTGCGCCTCCTCGAGGTGCTTTGCGCTGCTGATCGCATGCACCATCAACTTCATCTCCTTGTTCCTGACTTGCTGCTGCTGCCTTTTCTTTACGATTGGTGCTGCTCGCGGATTGCACATACTGGTTGAGTAGCGTGCGGCGTGAGCGATGGAGTTGAAGATCGCGACGGGGACGTCTCGTCACGTTTTTTTAGCTTTCTTGTCCTTCCTATCCTTTCTCCCCTTCTTCTTCTTCATACACTCCGTCCCTGCTCCCCCACCGCCTGGATCCTGTCCCCCCCTTCCCCCCTCCCCGACCTTCTCCCCCACCCCCATGACCACCGCCCCCACCCCCTTGCCACGCTCCCTCTCCACCTTCCAAAGACCATGGAAGATGTTCCCCCTCTGATAACGCCCCAAATGGCATGGGGTAGAAAAGCGCTTCAGGGATTTGCCATGCTCTTCCTGCGATTCGGCGAGATGGTCCGTGCGGAGACAGGAGCACGTTGGGCCTGGAGGATAGAGCTGAAGCAAGATCTTCCTTTCCCCGCCCCCCCATTCCCCCTATCTCGCCCAAGGACCCTTCCCCCTCTATCCCCTCTCTTTCCCCCTGTTTTCTGTTAGTCGGAGGATTACATGATTGGTGCATGACAACGGGGAATACTGTGGCAATGATTGTTTTGAAGCTCTATTGAACTTTTTGCAAATACCGTGTGAAGCGTTTCCCCTCTTATTCTGAAGTGTTTCCTGCTCTTTTTTCGAATGATTGTACTTTTCATGATGTATGCTTGGAAAGGCCCGTGGGGGAGATGTTGCATCTATGGGCTCGCCGGGGGATGTATGGAGAGTCTTGCTTTGTCTTTACTCTTTTTCCTTCTTCCTGCTTCTTCTTCCCTCTCCGATTTTTTTTCTCCTTCGATCTTTCTTCGTCCCCCCACCTTTTTGTTTTTCCTTTTTTTCCCCCTTCGTCCTCGCCTCCTCCCTCTCCGCCTCTTTCCCCCGTTTGTCCTCCTAGTGATCTTCCTCTTCTCCTCTCTTTCTCCCTCTTTGTCCTCCTAATATATGAAAAAAGGGGGGTACGATGTCGGGGTAATTAGATGCATATTCTGTAGGAAGGACGTCTAGGTGTGTTGAATGGAATGACTTGAATGTGAATATGCTGAACGTGATGATTCCTCAAAAAAAGGCAGGCCCTCGCCTTCCTTCCTTTTTCGTCTTACGCTCCCCTTGCGTGCCCACTTATCTTCGGCAAAACCGGTTTGTCTCGCCCTCACTGCAAATGGACACACGATTGGGACTTACCCTGACGCGTTTGCAAATCGCCCCCGTGCCTTGCCTTTTGCCCGCGGTGTGCCGACATGGTCGGAGCTGTGCGGGTATGACGTGTCGTGCCCGTGCGCAACTCATGTTACACACACGTGCTACACGCACACACACACATGCTACACGCACACACGCACACACACACACACACACACACACACACACACACACACACACACGAACACGTACACATGCACATACATTCTCCTGTCTATTGGTGGGGAGTGCCACCTGCTAGAAACTAGGTCCAGCGTCCCATGAACATCGTGAATAACTTGAAAGCATCAACTGGGACCCCACACACACACTCTCTTCGAGTTGTGTATAGCGAATATGACAAAACCTGTGTAGCACGGCGAACGTGTCCGCGCCCCTTCATGTTCGCGCGAACGTGTTCGCACGTTCGCGCGAACAGCTCGCAAACATGTTCGGGCGAACATAATTTTTTTCGTAAAAAATAAAATAAAAATAAAAAAAATCGGTTTTTTATTTTTAACTCACGATTGGCTACGAATTTGAACATGAATCCAAGGCAAAAGTCGCTTGTACTGTTATTCTACATAACATATATTTGTTTCAGATTTTCTGAATTGTTTTTTTTTTTTTTTAAATATTTTTTATGTTCGAGTTCGGAGAGTTTTGAGCGCTTGTTCGCGTTCGGGCGAACATGTTCGCATTCGCCTCCGAACGCGAACACGGTGCTACGTAGGACAAAACATACATACAGCATATTCACTACCTTACCCTTCCCGAACCACATAAACAAACGAACAACGCGCTGCGCACCTGTGCCTTCACGGCAAGTCAATGTCGACGGAGTGGCGAGCCCCAAAACAACCTCTTCTCATTAGGCAAATAGAAGGGAGAGACGGTTAACAGGGGTCCAAATATTTGCCGTTTTCATTGGCAATTGCGGTGCGAATTTCATCAAATTTTTTAAAAACAAACGATATGAGACCATAGTGCAAACATCAAAAAAAGAAACAGGCAAAAAAGAACGAAAAAAAAAACAAAAAAAACACTAGTCCGAGGTCCTCACAATTCTACCCTGTAATGTAACCCAAGTTCTTAGCCAGACTAACCTGGCGTTACTGCATTAATTTGCTTTTTTTTTTTTTTTTTTTTTTATGACCCTTGTGCAAAGCCTCTATCCCAGTGGCGGTAAGAGAACCACCGGGATTGAGGCTTTGCCTAGTGGACCGCTCCGTCTATTGGTGGGGAGCATCACCTGCTGGAAACTGGGTCCAACATCCCATGAATACATCCTTAATTGTTTATGAACCTAGGGCTGTGGAAAACTCTTCTCTCCCCGGGGGCACCCTTTTCCCTGGAGCTGCTAAGATACCCAACCCATTATGGACCACCCTTATCCAATGACCTTGTCCTATTTGTGCAGCCCCCCTTTTTTTGAAATTGTTGGAAACAGGGCCCAACGTCCCAATTATTGCACCATTACAGGCCTTCGTACTGCTGAAGGGCCCGGTTTGCTGGAAACGGGGCCCCACGTCCCAGCTATTGGACTATTACAGACCTTCGTACTGCTGAAGGGCCCGGTTGTTCCTGCTACGATCATTGTTGTATTCCTCCTTTTCCACTTACAGTACCGCTGTTGACTTTTAATCCCTGGTTGTCTTGTCTCAGTTCCTATTTTGAGCAGGTCTCCTTGCAGCTGCATTGACCTTGTCGTGGGTAGCTTGGTTTTCTTTATCCACCGGTGTCGTTCTCCCTCTACCTATGGTAGAAACCGCAGCATTAACTGCCCATCCTGGATTGTGCAGTCATCCAACGCCCTATGCCTCCTGGTACTTAGTCTGCTCAGCTGGCTCACATGGGAATACTAGGGA